AATTACTCTCAATCCCGAAACAACGCGTTCCTGGAAAAAGGACTCAATTTTTTTAATTCCACAACACAGGAGCCTTCTAGGAGACATCCTGGTAGGGGTTATCAATATCGCCGACAAGTTCCCTGAGGAGAAAAAACGGAAAATGGAGATAAACCAATTCCAAAGAACTTGACCCATCAGAAGCCTACACACAGGAACAGATTTGCCGGAAAACGAATTATCAATTAGTCCTTCAGGCGGACAGGGGAGGAGCTACAGTGATAATGGACAAAAAACAATATGCCGAGAAAATGGAACATATTCTACGAGATAGAACCACATATCGTATACTAAACAAGGACCCAACTATGAAGGTTAATGGAATCTTAAGTGTCATGCTGAAAGATATGCATATGAATGGGGAAATCGACGCATGGACAAGAAATTCAATCATAAGGATGCACGACCATCAGCAGCATGCGGATTACCGAAGGAAGGCGCGCCACTAAGGCTGATAGTCAACAACAAGTATGGAGCAACACCCAAATTGGCAAAGTTTATATGTTTGAAACTCAAGAAATTAAATGAAAAGCTATCAAACACGGTGAAAAATGCATATGGATTTTCTCAAAAATCAAAAACATGGCATTGAGAAAAACGGACTTATGGGTAGGTTTCGATGTGGAATCTGGAGAAAATGCGCTAACGGCCTAGCTAGAAATCCTGGTCCGGGAGTAGGATATCCTGGAATCACGATGAATCATGAGGGAGTCACTAAGAAGACTAATCAACTTGACAACAAGGAAAACCTATTTTACATTCAACTGGAACATCTATGAACAAATATTTGGACTTTCCATGGGATCGCCACTTTTGGCAAACGTATACATGAATAAAATAGAAGAGAGCTTCAAGATGGCACAGCTACAACCAACAGTGCTCATGTGGTACCTGGATGATTACTTCGCAATTTGGTCACATAGAAGAGAAAAACTGGAAGAGTTTCTGAAGGTTGTAAACCAGAATGATGGAAAAATTCAATTCACACTGGCAGTAGAGGAAGGTGAGCTGTTACCGTTCCTGGACGTTGAAGTGATTCGTTCTAATAGAACGCTGAAAAAAATTGTTCAGAAAGAAGTCCTATGCTGGGATAATACTCAATTTCCGGTCCCATCACAATTACAGGC